GGTGTCAGGGCGTCCAAAACGGCCTCGGCGAGGAAGCCAAACTCATTGATTTGACTAGGGTTGTGGCCCCAATTTGGCCTCCTTGGGGGGCGAGGCTAATGAATGCTCCGCACTTCTTTGATAGATCTCCTCCAAGATGGCCCCAAGAAGCGTCCAGGAGGCCACAAGAGGTCCCAAGATGGCCCCAAGACTGCCCCAATAGGTCCCCAGGAGGCCACCAGGAGGCCCCCAAGAGACCCCCAAGAGGCCCCAAGAGACCCCCCAGAGGCACCTAGGATGCTTCAAGAGGCCTCGGCGAGAATGCCAAAACGGCCTCGGCGAGGTAGTCAAACTCATTGGTTTTCTTTGGTTTTGGCCCCATGTTGGCCTCCTGGGAGGGCAAGCCTGGTTAATGTTCCCCTCTTGGTTGATCGATCTCATTCAAGATGGCCCCAAGAAGCGTCAAGGAGGTCCCAAGAGGTCCCAGGATGGCCCCCAAAATGGCCCCAAGAGGCCCCCAAGAGGCCCCCAAGAGGCCCCCAGGAGGCCCCCAAGAGACCCCAAGAGGCCTCAAGAGACCCCCCAGAGGCACCCAAGATGCTCCAAGAGGCCTTGGCGAGAATGCCAAAACGGCCCCGGCGAGGAAGCCAAGCTCATTTGTTTTACGATGGTTTTGGCCCCAGTTTGGCCTCCTGGGGGGGGGACGCAAATTAATACCCCCCTCTTGTTTGATAGATCTCCTCCAAGATGGGCCCAAGAAGCGCCCAGGAGGCCCCAAGAGGTCCCAAGATGGCCCCAAGATGGCCACAAGAGGCCCCCAAGACGACCCCAGGAGGCCCCCAGAAGACCCCCAAGAGGCCCCAAGAGACCCCCCAGAGGCACACAAGATGCTCCAAGAGGCCTCGGCGAGAATGCCACATCATTGATTTCACGAAGGTTTTAGCCACATTTTGGCCTCTTGGGGGGGAGCACTGATTAAGATGACTCCAAGAGCGCCTGGGAGAGCCCAAGATGACCTCCAAGATGGCTCAACATATCCCAAGATGTCTCATAATAGCTTCCTTTGTGTGCTGCCCCACTTCCCTGATCCAGGCAATTCCTCTGGGCATCGTTTCTGGATGGGCTGGTGGGGATCCGCGAAGCGTCAACAATTGCAAGAGTTTCCCACGTGAGAGCGCGATTCGTACATAAATTGCGAGGAAGTCCCGTGAGAGAGCGCGATTCTTGAATACATCGCAAGAAAGTATCAGTCGTGAGCCGCTGTTGCTGTAGTTCGGGCGCCAACAAGGCAGTTTGAGGAGGATTACTTTTCCTGATTCAAGATGTGCGATCCCCAGGAGGAGGCTTCAATTGAAAAAAACACATGTTACCGGAGGGGGGACCAACAATACATACTCTTCAGAAGTGAGGGATCAACAACACCAACACCAACGCCAACAACACCACTAATCATTTAAGACTGGGGACACTCCGTTCTCACCAGTGCCAGGGTTTTCATAGGAGGCGGACAATACCCCCACTTTGTGGGGGGGCCGGTTCAAGCTCTACCAAGTTTCCAAACGACTCTTCGCCACCACCCACACCCAGCTTCCCGCCCTATGACGTTCGGACACTTCACTTCGTGGCCTGCGGACGACCTTGGCTACTACACTGACGCATGGGTACAATGACTTGTTGTTGTAACATGTTGTGGAAGCTAGCTTAGTATACGACTTATCCCCCTGTTCCAACACTGGACACCTGTACCGTTAAACCGACGTTTTTCCGTTTCTGTACCACACAAACAAAGATTATTTTGAGTGGTACCACGTGCGTGGCGCCAGCATACCACAGGACTTGTTCGAAACACGTGAAAAAGTTGCTCGCAAGAGCCCGTTTGACAGAAATGTTGAAAACATATTGGGTTTCCTCAGAAATCCGCAAGAGCGCGCAAGATGAATTTTTGAAACTTTTTTTGTTGAAAAACCATTGGGTTTTTCATGTTTTTATGTTAAAATCGCTACGAAAACTAAGGTTTTGGAAGGATTTCATCTTGCGCGCGCGAGTGTGCACTTCGTGTCATTTTTTGCAAAGGATTCTTGAAGTTTGGTTATGTTAGAACAAGAAATGTCATTTTATAGTGTTTTTTGCAAGGGAAAGCGGGCGTCAACAAAACAACCGGATCTGGATGACATCGTTTTACCTGAGACTTCCTCACGAAAATGATGAAAATGTGGCTGCGGCCTAGGCGCGGCGAGGGGGGCGTGCACCAGGGGGCCCAACAATAATTATTCTTTAGAAGTAATAATATTCAACACCACTAACAACAACACCAGCAAAAACAGCCAACAACAACAACAACAACGACCACATCGACAACGACAACGGCGACAACGACAACGACAACGACGACAACCATCTTGCGAACATCGGATGTAACAAGCAACTGTGGCCTTCATGTGTTTTCCCCTCTCCCTCGCACCCGCCCGCGAAGTCATTGGACCAACCCCCTTTGGGAGAGATTTGTTTCATACCAGCTCCTGGGAGAAGGATTCGGTATTCTCTATACGCACCACATCGCCACGGCCGCCAAACGTGCTAACGCGCCCGTGGGCCAAGGCGTTTCGGGGTAAATTGAGGAGGTATCGAGCGGGAGCCGTTGTCGTCGTAGCTGCCCACCCCCCTCCCCAACTTGAACGAATTGCGAGGAGGATTCGAGCCAGACCGCAGTTCCTGAGCTTCGAAGCTTGTCTGGCCAGGGCCTCTCGAAGTAAATTTCGCAGAATTGTCGGGCGAAAGCTGCTGTCATCGTAGCGGGGCGTCCACGAACGTGCGTGAATTGTGAGGATGTCTCGAGCCAGAGCGCAATTCCTGAGCTTCGCGGCCTCTCTGGCCAGAGCGTCCCGGAATAAATCGCAAGGAATTGTCGAGCGGGAGCCGCTGTCGCCGTCGCTGGAATTCCACGAACTTGCATGAATTGCGAAGAAGTCTCGAGCCGGAGCGCCGTTCCTGGGTTTCGAGGCCTCTCTGGCCAGAGCGGCTCGGAATAAATCGCAAGAATGTGTCGAGCGGGAGCCGCTGTCGCCGTCGCTGAACTCCACGAGCTTGCATGAATTCCAAGGAAGTCTCGAGCCAGAGCGCTGTTCCTGGACTTCGAGGCCTTTCTGGCCAGGGCCCGTCGGAGTAAATTTCCAGGAAGTATCGAGCGGGAGCCGCTGTCGCCGTCGCTGGAACTCCACGAGCTTGCGTGAATTGCGAGGATGTCTCAAGCCAGAGCGCCGTTCCTGAGCTTCGAGGCCTCTCTGGCCAGGGCCCGTCGAAGTAAACTTAGAGGAAATATCGAGCGGGAGCCGTTGTCGTCGTAACCGGGCCCACAGAGGCACACATACACACTCACGCCCCCGCTCGCGCGGGAGCTTCGTTTCCACAGAAAATGCGGCCGGCGTCGAGGCGACAGCGCCCGGGCAACTTTCCGGAGATCAACCATGATTTTTCTCTAGAAATGAGTCTTCAACAACGACAACAAGAACAACCACAACAACAACAACACCACCACCACCACCAACAACAACAACAATGATTTTAATAATGTTCGCCCTTATGTGCTCGAGTCTCCAATAAGGCGTGTTTCCCAAACCCTTGATACCCGCCCTCTTCGTCTTCGATCGAACCCCTTTTGGGGGATAAACCTTTCTTCCCTGCAGACCAGGCCCCGGCAAGCGGCGGGGCGGCCGCGGACCGTCGGCCTGGCCAGCGGCAGCGCTGATCGGCGGGGCGGCCGCGGACCGTCGACCCGACCCCAAGAGGGACGGACAGGGGACCGACCACGACGACGACGACGACGACGACGTCGAAGACGACGACGACGACGACGACGGCGACGACGAGCGAAAGCGAGAGCGAGAGAGAACGACAGCAGGGCCACGAAGGGCACGAAGTAGGCCACGAAGGGCGACAGCGGGGACACGAAGGGAATGCGTATGGGGCCACGAAGAGCGCGAACGAGCGGGGGCCACGAAGTGCAGATAATGCGGGGCCACAGAAGGCAACTATGGGGCCACTGAGGGTAGCAACTGGGCCACGTAGGACAGTGAGGGGGACACAAATGGCGACAGCGGGGCCACGAAGGGCATGCACATGGGGCCACAACGGGCGCGACTCCTGGGTGCCTGGGTGTCGGGAGCGCGGCGCTTGGGCAAATTGCAGGAAATTCCAACGCAAGGCCATTCTTCAGTAAGTTGCAAGCAAGTCTCCAGCGAGAGAGCGACTCCAGAGCGCCGGGAGAGCGATTCCTGAATACAGTGTAAGGAAGTCCCAAGCGAGAGCGCGATTCATGAATAAAATGCGAGGAAGTCTCGGGCGGGAGCGGGGGTCCTGGCTGAATTGCAAGGAAGTCTCAGGCGGGAGCCGTTGTTGTTGTAACCCGGGGGCCAGGGGCCCAGTTTGAGCGTCAGGACTTTCCCTGTCAAAAAACACTGTGCGAGCGTCGAGTGGCACACTTTGATTGAGAAAAAACAGATGCACCGGTGAGGGGGGATCATCAATAATTATTCTTCAGAAATGAGAATTCAAGAATAATACCTTGAACAGCAATAACAGCAACAACAACAACAACAACAACAACAGCAAACAACGACAACAACTACAAACACACCACCACCAACACCACAAACACCACCAACAAGAACAACAACAACAACACCACCACCACCACCACCACCACCACCACCACCACCACCACCACCAACGACCAAATGATTGGCCTGGGGCCGATCGGGCGCTCCGTTGCGTTGCGGTCTGGCCCCTCTCCGTGTCCGCCCCGCCGACAGTGTGGGGCCAAGATGGCTCGACGAAAATCACCTCGGGCCCCGAAAGCCTCCGACACCAATGGGAAATCGCTGAACTCGCGAAACCACTGGAAAATCCCACCCTCCCTGTCCTCACCCTTCCCCTGAACTCCCCTGGGCCGTCCGATCGGTCAAGCCGCGGCCCACGGGCCGTCGCCACAAGGTCGAGACCCGACGCGAGACTGAGGCCGCCGCACAGTCCTCGCGGAAGGTACTCTCGCCGAACACGTCCCCGCGATGCAGCGTCTGAACCACGCTTGCGCCCTCGCGGGGAGCTCATCTCGGATCGGACGAACGGGGGAGTGGGGTTGTAGTAATCCTGACCAAGTGGGGTCCGAGCACATGGGGTCGCGCCGCATCGCCTATGCATCGGCGACGTCGGGATGGGGAGAATATGGATATGGGGCGCGTCGCATCGACGACGACCTGGCGACGCGGCGCGATCCCCCAGCCCGGGGTACGGGCAAGTTGCGGATGATGATGGTTGAAAGATGCGTAACTGTGACACCTCTGGCATGTATGCCCGTGTTGTCGTCCTCCCTCCCTCTCTCCCTGCTGCCCGCCGCCTCCCACCCTCTACCATCCCTCCTGCCTCCCTTTCCTGCTCCCATCCGTCCTCCCTGCAGCCCTCCCCCCCTGCCTTCCCTCCTCCCTTTCCCTCCTCCCTCACTGTCCCTCCTAATCCTCCTCCTCCCCCTCCTCCTCCTCCTCCTCCTCCTCCTCCTCCTCCTCCTCCTCCTCTTGCTCCCCCTCCTCGTCCTCCGCCCCGTCTTGCTCGTCCTCCCCATCCCCCTCGTCAATCCTCGTCGTCCCCGCCCTCCTCGTCCACCGCGCCGTCCTCGTCCCAGCCATCCTGCCGCTCCTGCCCGCTGCTCGCTGCTCCTCCCGCCCACCACAGGAAGTGGCCCCGAGCAAGAATGGCCCGAGGCGCGCGGCCTGCGTGCTTGGGCTTGGCCCTCCCGCCCGGGCGCCCGGAAAGTCGCGCACTGCAGGTCACTGCGGCGGCAGAGGGGGTCGCTCTGACGTTCGGAGGAGCTGCCCGGTTGAGCTCAACAGCTGTTCTAAAGACCCTGCCTGGGATCCCCTGACGCATTTCCGGGGTAGTTCTAGCCGCGGCGACGAGAAGCATCCAGAAGGCCGCAAAACTACGAACACCGCCGCAGAAAGTATCGACTGATCCTCCTCCTCCTCCCAGGTACTGGGCCGCGCCGGCGGCGCGGCCAGAGCCGTGAGCCGTAAAGCCGGCCCGAGCTTCCACGGACCCACGAGGAGGTTCCCCCCCCCCCGTCCAGCCCCCATCCATCCTGCCTTCTCCCCGGTCCATCTGTCCTCTTTGCTATTTCTTCTCCTAAGCCTCATCCTCAGCCCACATTTTCAGCCCTCATCCTCAGCCTCATTCTCCCCTGCATCAATCGCCATCACCCTCCTCCTAAACCTCCTTCTGCTCCTCCTCTGTATCATCGTCGTGCTCAACCTCGTCTGGCATGGAGGAAACGAGACCCGAAGGAAACATGATCTCTGGACCATTCCCTGAGACAACCGTTCCTGCTAGTGTGTCGCTTCACCTTCGACGGGCGAACATAAAAGCATGTCGAGCATATGGGAGGGACGTGGTCTGAGCTGGCTCCAGGCCCTCTTGCGATCGCAAAGAAGCCCGCCGGGGGGCAAAAGGGAGAAGTGGCCAGCCTTGATTCCTACCCTATCATTGAGATTGGCAAGCACGAGGCGATGCCAATATCTTAGGGATGCGCCCTGCGAAACTGAGGAAATCCTCAAGACCGGTTTCGAGGAACTTGACGTCGATCACAGGAGTGACACTATGCTGCGGGCTTCTGGAAAAGAAAATGCAAACACGCGGGTAAAACTCGCGCGCAAGCAGGGAAGACCCGGAAAATTGCGCCTGCCTCAGGGGCCTACGCTACCTATGCGCTGGTTCTGACCCACGCGAATCTTTCAACCCTGAGCGATCTCGGCCTTCCGAAAGCGCAGATCGCTCGACGTCGGACGATTTCGGGACATATGCGGGCGTTCAACCTTGAGCGCTCGCACTGGCGTTGTCGTCGCCTCGACACGACACGAACCTACGCGCACGCAAGAAACACCATACCAGCGGCGCAGGCTTTCTGCCCTATGGGTCTGGCGTGCATGTTCCTAACCCTGGGAAGCAAACAGTAACCCCCCCGGCGATATCGCTTGCACAGAAAAAATAATTAATCATTTTGGGCGGCGCCCTCCGGCGATATCGCTAGCACATAAAAAAATATAATACAATAATTAATTAATTTGCCCCCCCCACCAGGCCCGAAGCTGGCGGCAACGTGAGGCGACAGCCTGAAGAACCAATGCGCACGAACGCTTCCCAATGGGTTCCCGCCTAGAACACAGGGAAACTGACGCGCATCGGAAATCAAAGGTAAATCAAAAACGACAAACAATGAAATCACCGCAAGCAGCTGTACTTGAAAGGACCCCCCAAAGGAATCCCAGAGGAATCTCAAAAGGAAGCCCACGCAGAATCTCAAAGGAACCCTATTGGAAATTCATCGCAATCTCAAAGGAACCCCACAGAAATCGCAAAGGGATCTCAGCGGCAGCTCAAACGAACCACGAAGGAATCTAAGGAATCTGGAAAACGCGGGCTCGCGTGGACATAAGCAATCCCTATTGCGACGGCACTAGGGAAATTGATTATTTAAGGGGATCCTATGGGAGAGTCCACGGAGAGATATCGCAGACGGATTCCGCGAACCCCCCCGCGATATGTTAGCACATGTATTGAAAATAAAATAATCCACAAGCGCCGGAGGTCGATGTGATGCTCCCTTCAGGGATTGTCGAAGGAATGTCAAAGGAACTTGAAAGGACCCCCCAAGGAATCCCAGAAGAATATCACAAATAAGCCCACGCATGATATCAAAGGAACCAATGGAAGTTCAAAGCAATCTCAAAGGAGCCCAACAGAAATCGCAAAGGCATCTCAGCGGCAGCCCAAACGAACCACGAAGGAATCTAAGGAATTTGGAAAACGCGGGCTCGCGTGGACATAAGCAATCCCTATGGCGACCGCACTAGGGAAATGGATTAATTCAGGGGATCCTATGGGAGAGTCCACGCAGAGATATCGCAGACGGATTCCGCGAACCCCCCCGCGATATGTTAGCACATTTATTGAAAATAAAATAATCCACCGGCCCCGGATGTCGATGTGATGCTCCCTTAAGCAATGGGGCATCAAAGGGATATGACCGGAACCTCAAGGGACCCCCCCCCCAAAACAACATCAAAGGAACACCAGAGGAGTCTCAAAGGAGTCCCAAAATAATCACAATGGAAACGGCAAGGAATCTCAAAAGAAGCCAATCGGAGTATCAAAGGAATCTCTGGGGAATCTCACAGAAACGCACAGAATCACAGGAAGCGACTCTGGGCAGGTGTGCCTTGTCGCTGGGCTCGGGGGAACAGAGGGACCGGGCATTCAGAGACTTGTGGAAGCCTTTCTGGATGCCTCCTGGGAACCTCCGGGGACCTCCCCTCCGCGGACCTCTGGTGACCTGCGGGGGATATCGCTTCCGCCCCGGCCCCGGTGCCAGAAGCGTTATAATTTCCTCTGATGAGGGGGGGGGGGGGGAGGGGGGTTTACTGATTGCTTCCCAGGGAGGGACATGCCCCACGGAACAGGTTTACACGTTGCCTCCGCAAAGGGACATCCCGACCGCAAACCGCCACCGAGAGAGCAGCGTGTCGGCCTATACACGATCGCCAACTGCCAGGTCCAGGCTTCGAACGTGAGACCCGCTGGAGCAATCCTGGAAATCACGGCTGCGGTTTCCTGCTCTCATGCCCATGACCTCGCCGACGTAACGGCCCCATCCTGACGTCCACTCTCCGGGAAGGGGGGATAGCCAAGGAGGGATTTGCGAATCACCTCGTGTAAAGTGGCTTCCTGGCGCGCCCTGGTGCCTGAGGCGACCACGTATCGACGAGTGTGCCTGGCGGCAAGGCCGAAACCAGCTGCATGCAGCAGATTTCGTAGTCCCCACTTTCCAGGGCCCCTCCTTCTCCGCCCGCCCGGACACTCCATCCCCCCGTCTGCACTACCCCACCTCACCGATCTGCGCTTCTCTGCCTGCCCTGCATTCCCCGCCCCGTCCAGATCAGAGGGTCTCGCCCCCCCCCTCGCCGACGATCTTGCCATGAAAGAACAGAGACCCGAGGGCGACGTGCTGGGCCCCCGGGACCACCCCAGAACAACTTGTGCGCCCCAAATAATTACGCTGACGGTCAAAGAGCCCACTGTCCCCGGGCCCGGGGAGGGGCACCAGGGAGCCCGAGGACGGCCAAGACCCGTCTCTGCCAGAACACCTCTCCGTGATGGCGGAATGATCATGACTCGGGCCTCTGGCGGCCGCTCGGAGTAATCTGGGCAGCCCTGGCACGCTCTCGGCGAGGCGCAGCTGGTGGAACGCATCCCGAGGCTGGAAAGGCCTCCCGAAACCTGCCAAAAAGAACAAAACAAGCGTTTCCCTCAGGACCCCTCTGCTTCAAGCCGACACTGTACGGACGTCGCCGAGAAGCCCGCGGAGTCCACGCCAAGCAAACGTGCGCACGAAGAATCGGACACGGACCGGCACAGACCGGCTACACGCGAGAGTGGCCCTGGGCAGGAGTGACCTTGTGGCGCGCGGCTCTCGGGGGCCGCGGGGTGCCAGGTCCGAGCGCGCAGGGCCATGCTGGGGGGGGGCCCTGCTCGGGGGTTTGACAGGAGCCCCTTCCGCGAACAAAAAAAAAAAAACTTCAACGAAAACAGCCTGGAAGCAGACCTGGTGGGCGCAGGCCCGCACAGACCTCGCGGCCACACCACCTCCGAGATTTCGAGGGTCGACAAGGGGCAACCTGCTCGTCGACCTGGCCGCGTGGGGGCTCCTGCCAGCCTCAGACCCTAGCACTCCGCGTCAAGCGGTCGCTCCGGCAGGGGGCCGCGGCACCGCAGCGAAGTCTCTCCGCGCCCACTGGTGCCGGGGGTGCCCGCCGCGGGCAGGGCCTTGGGCACGCCCGGCGGCGGCGGCTCCACGGCGGGGGGGTCGCAGCCGCACACCACGCTGCTGAAGGGCAGAGATGTCGCTCCTCGGCACACAGAAGATCAGCTGCGCACTGTAAACATAAACTGTCGAAGGTCCGCGCAGATGGGGTGGGTTGGCACATGTGTTAGTTAGGAACGCGCATAGATAGACGCAGAACGATGTCGACGTCGCCGTCGTCGTCTGAGAAGTCGTTGGGCGTTCCTGGAGGTTCTCGTCGCCGCGGCTGCCCGCGGCTCTGATCGAAAAAAAAACATGGAGCCCGGGAGGGGTCAGCTGACCTGTTTCGAGCGGAGTTGCGTCGGGGGGTGAGGAGAGAGGAGCGGCATTCTGAGAAGGCGGGAGGGTTCTTAGAAGGCAGGTATTCTGGCAGGAAGGCCCTGGATGCGGTCGAGGAAGGCTTAATGCAAGCCGACAGGCCCTTCTCAAAACCCGCGTGCCTTCGTAACAGCTCATCCGCCTTCTGGGAAGGCCAACCCTCGCCTCGCTCCGCCCTTCCGTGTGCGGTTTCGGGAAGATGCCCATGAATAAATCCCTCACACCTCACGCGCCCAAAGGATGCTGCAGTCAACGTGTCTGTCGTGCGCACGCCGCCTGGCGAACGAATGCAGCAGATGCGCAAGCTGTTATATTACAAATATTGAAGCATCGCCATCCGCGCCCACGATTACGTTATCGATTCGGACCAAGGGTAGGCTGTTCTGAAAATGGCAACTACGAGCACTGGACGCGCAAAAACACGAGCTGGCACCCTGGCCCGATCAAGGCCACTAACCAACGCAGCACGCGACACTGGCGTGGGCCGACGCTGCCTCCAACCGAGCAGCAGGCCAGTGACATGACAACGCAAACGTTACTTTGTGACATCGTGCGGATCGTGCAGCCCTGAAGGATCGCGGCTCTCCGACGGGGCGGTTTCTCTCGACACTGGCCGACACGGGGCCAGCCCCCGCGATCACCCTTGAACGCCCGAGCTGGGGCCACCGCCGCGTCGACACGGCGCGGACGTGCCGCACAACCCTCACCGAACATCGGGTTCTGCTGTTGCCGCAGCGCCAGGGGGCTCGGCGCGGTCGGTCGAGAGAGGGCTGCGCAATGGCTACTGGTAGTTGCGGCTGGACGGGTGGCCCGGGGAAGAGGGACGGCCGCGGAGACAGAAAGGAAGAAGACGAGGCACACTCAGGTGGTGAACATCTGAGTGAGCGGCCTCGAGTTCCCTCAGGATTCGTCGGAAGCGGCAGACGTAGAACCAGGAGAGAGAAAAAAAAAATGGCCAAAACCCGATGCACACCCGTGACACCGCCCAATGCCAGCCGATCGGGGCGCCCAGTCCCGCCGAGAGATTTCTCGGTGGCCCTCCGCCGCCGGTGCGGACATCTGCCCCTCCCCGCAAAGGCGCTGTGGTCACCGCAGACGATCCACACTTGGGGGCTGCCCGAAACGTTCTGACCTCCTCGCGGAAAGCGTTTTCCCCATTTTTGGCCCGCGCGGGCCCCTACTGGGCCCGGCCCGGGGACCGTCAATAAAAAAAACTCCAAGCCGCGGTCTGGCGTTTCGCGCCATTCTAGAGCGCCGATGAGAGGAACGGGAGGATTGCCGAAACGGCTCACGCGGTCGGTTGTTCCGGCGCCCCCCTGGCGCCAATCTATAAATGGAAACGCCCCGCGGCGGCGCCTCCGATTCAAGCCGGACGCAGCAAATTTCTAGTATACCTGCGTCTATCCACCTCCGTGCCCTTGCAGTGTCCACAGCTCCCTTGTTGGATCCCCTGGAGCGCCAGTTCTCAATCTTGGGGATTCTGTAAGGGGTCCGGGCCCGAAAACCTGAAATCTTTCCCAAGACACCCGAAGAGCCTTCCAAGAGGCATCCCGAGAGGACCCGACGAGGCAAGAATCGTTGATGTTTTTTGGCTCTTGAAAGATTTTGGCATTCTGGACAATTCGTCTTCCCGTCGCTACAGGACGGCCAAAGAGGCCCCCACGATCGCCACAAGGGCCCCAAAACGGCCCACGAGAGCACCATATCGGCCCAAAAGGCTCCCAAGATGGCCCAAGAGGTCCTCAAGACGGCTCCAAGCGGGGGCTCCCACCAGGGGACCCGAACGGACAGTTCGAGCCCTCGGCATCGACAGGCCCCCAGGATTACCTAAGAGGTCCTCAAAATGCCGACAAGAGGCCGCCATGAAGCCCGAAGAGGCCCCCAATAGGCTCCCAGGCTCCCGATAGGCCCCCAAAAGGCTCCCACGAGGTCCCTAAACTGCCCACAAGGGCTCCCAAGAGATCCCAAGAAGTATCCTTGAGGACTCTGACCCACAACCCAGGCACGGTGGCGGGCTAGGCCGAAGGCCATTAGATATATGTGTACACATAAATGCACGTACGCACATACCTATAGATATGTGTGCACGCATGGTTACGTATACATGTAGATATGTAGACATATATGTGTGTTTACATATAGAGATGTAAGTGTACATATGTATGTATGTTTGTATGATGTATGCATGTAGATCTGCATGCACGTATGCATACATGCTTGCATGTACGTATGTGTGTGTGCATGTGTGCATGTGTGTATAACTTTATGTATTGTGTGTGTGTGTGCCTGAAGCTATGCTTGCATGTACGCACGTATGTATGAGGTATGTATACACACATGCATGTACGTACGTCTGAATGTATGTATTTATATATGGGTGCGTGTATGCACATGTTAATGTATGTGTATATGTGTATGCGACTAGATTTACATTCATGCATGCATGTCTGTATGTACGTACGTATGTGCGCGTGTGTGTTGACGCGGTTATGCATGCGTGCGTGTATGTATGTGCATGTATGTCTGTAGGTAAGCATGTATGCATGTATGTATGCATGTGTGATAATGCGTGGTTGCATGATCGCATGACTGTGTATTTGTATCAGCCTGCACACGCATGCATGCATGCAGATATCAGTGCATGCATGCACGTACGTACATATGTTTGCATGCGTGTACGCATGCGTGTATGTGAATATATGTATTCATAAGCATGTACAGGCATGCATACACATGTGTATGTGTGTATGTATGCACGAATGCATGCATGCACACACATACACATATAGGTGTACGTATGTACGCACATATGTGCATTTGTGTATAAGTAACTGGTGTATTATCACATATGCCTGCACGTACACGTGAATGTATACGTATCCGTCACCGTGCCTCGAGGCACGAAGTGGAGTACCCCCCACCAGGCTTCGAGCGTTTCCTGTGCTGTGTACTCGGTCCTGAAGTACTAGAATGCGGGAAGAGTGCCCAAAGACTAGAATCTTCTTCGCAGCCACCAGCGCTCTAGGGTTTCCTCGCATGACTTTCCTTAACAACAAAAACAGGGCCCCCCTGTGAAGGGCCACGTGGCCCCCAGAGGCCCTCAAGACGGTCCAGGTGCCCCAGAGACCCCGAAATATTGTTCCAACGCGCACGATCTGACCCACAGACGGCCCAACAGGCCCCCAGGACGCCCCAAGAGGGCACCAAGAGGACCCCCCCCAGAGAGCCCCTGATGGTGGCCTTTTTGGGCGTTCGGCGCTCCAAAATGGCAGGAAAAAACCGCCCACGTCGCCCCAAGACAGCCCAAGAGGCCTGCAAAAAACACACCCAGACGGTCCAATATTGCCCCAAAACGGCACGCCCAAGAAATCCCAGGACTGCCCGACAGGACCCCCAGGAGGGCCCACGATAAGCTCCAAAGGGGGAGCACGAACCGAAGTTGCGAGACCTTCGCCTCAAAATGGCCCCCGAAACCGCCAGCAAAACCTCATGAGACCCCGCGAAAGCTCCAAGAGGCGCAAAAAGGCCCTACTCAGGCCCCATGTGGCCCCCAAGCCCCCGAGAGGCCCACAAGACACCCCAACACCATATCCAAGAGGCCTCCGACCGAACAAACCGCCTAAGGAACCCCCACAGGCAACCCCGAGGCGTCCGACTTACAACCCTGGCGCGGTGGCGGGATGGGCCGAAGGCCGCTCGATCCACCGCCCCCTGTTGATGTATCACTATCACAAGGGGTGCCAGGCGTGCTGATTCTTTGTTTTCGGAACACACACACATACATATATATATATATATACATATATATATACATATATATATATATACATATATATATATGTGCTGATCGCTCCAAAAGGGGAAAAAGAGAGAGAGAGAGAGAGAGAAAGAAAAAGAGAGAAACAACACAAATAACATAATACAAATCCTCCTAGGTGTTTCGGGCTGCGCTCCAGCTTGTAGTCCTTTGGCGGTGCGAAATGTCCCGTCGGTCTGGCAAGCGAACGCGGTCTCGCCCGCCATGCTGGACAGCCGCGAAGCCATAGGCGATGGCCTTGGTTGTGTGCGTCGTGGGCTTGAAAGGCCGAAGCAAAGGCCTGAAATTCTTGCCGATCGACCTCAACCCACGGACACTAGGGGGCAAACAAACCTACCTCGCTTTTGACCACCCTCGCTTCCAAGAGATACCAAGTGATGCCAAACTACGGCCTGTACTGGTCAGGCCGCTTGACGAGGAGGCACGTGGTATGACTTGGTTTTGCCTGGAAGCGAAAGCGGGGTAGGTAATTCACGCTCTGAGACACGGAGCGCGTCCTTGCCCAGGGGGCCTGGGCATGCCGGCGCCGTGAAGATATCGCACCCGCGCGCTGTGTACACCAGCTGTTATTCGATGCGCCCCTGGTCGAGCCACTGGACTCTTCGGAGCGCTCGCTGGCTCGCCCCAGCCCTCCGACCACGCTCTGCAGCCCAATGCCCAAGCCAGTCTCCGGAAAGTGGGGCGTTGGCGTCCTTTCTTCCATGGGCATGGAGGAAGCGTCTGCGCGCAATTCCCTCGGTCTCGTGGCGGACTCCACACGTGGCGGCGCCCGTGCATTCGCCCGCGGAGGTTGGAACTCGCCCGAAGACTGCAAAACCCAGCGTCGGCAGGGCGCCAACCAGAGGCGGCGGCGTCGCAGAGGGAGGGGCGCGGGCCCCCCCCCCCCCCAACATCTGCGAGCGGCAGCGACC